AGCAATGTTGTTTACCAAATTCCTCCACTTTTGGCTGGTTGCCAGGGAGCCTACTGTGTTCCATCTGTTTTGCAGGAAGCCTTAGTTACCAAAAGTGGAGACCTATCTAGATTATGGTCTCGTTACTTCTGCAGTTTCAAGTCTGGAGAATTTTGTGAACAATTATTTTGAAAGCCAGGGTTATAGAGAAATATGTGATTTCTTGATGGTCAATAAAAGAAGGAAAGGCGCAAATATCAATGACAAGACCAAAGAGTATGTTTTTACTACTTTAGCAGGGTTTTTATTTATTGAAACCTTGTGATTTATGGCATTCAGTTAAAATGTCTTACACCAATGTTTCTTTTTATCCAAGCTTTTTGACTCCTCTCCATGTCGCAGCAGATAAAGGTCATAATGATGTTGTAGAGGTGTTGCTAAAACATGAAGCCAAGGTGAGTTATGATTTTTACTTTTAATACTTTTTGGCTTGAGTTAGGCTTCAAAGTGACATTAAAAGAGAACTATAGGGTAACCTTTTTATCACATAGTTCTCTTAAGGGTCATGGGAGGACATATACTATAATACTAGTGTCCTCCTGTGACCTAAAAGCTCAGTATATAGCGAGCTACCACTTGCTATATACTGAGAGCGTTGCAGCCGGGGCAAATCCCGACAATGCTGTCGAGATCCACCCAGCTGCATGAGTGACTGCTGGCTCTGCCTAACTATAGGCTGAGCCAGCTGTACCCGCCCCCTCCCCCGTCCGTTCTTCCAGTCAGCGCTGGAGGATCGGGGAGGCGGGGGGAATCCCTGTGGGGAGCGGTTACTGACAGTTGCTGCTCTCTGCAGGGAGACGATCGGAAAGTGTGCGAGTGACGGTATGCATTGGCTCACTTCCCAAACTATACTATAGAGTTGACGTGTGAAATTGTCACACGTCGGCTTGAACTAATGAGGTTGCGTGAAAATCACTCGCCTCATAGTCCTCCTTTTTAAAGTCTTGTGTGGGGTGTTTTTTTGTAGTGTGTTTTTTTTTTTTTTTACATATATGAAGGCAAGCAGTAGATATAGGCACAAATCATTTAAAAACAAAAGTTACCGAATAGATAAAAACTTGCCTCTGTCTCCGCCACTCGCTCCCGGCTGTAGAATTCAGCTTCTCGAGCGGCCGTGCAGGAGGATGTATGCAGGTGCATGCACAGTCGGATATCACCGGCGAGGAGTGCTACTGTACAAGGCCCCGTTCACATTGAGCGATATATCGCGGCAATTTACCGTGCGATATCGCTCTCCAATGCTTCTCAATGGGGCAAAGGGTCCTGCGGGTCGTGTGTTGCTACAGCAGGACCCTTTTTGGAGCGGATTTAGCCGCTAATAAAAGCTTGCTCAATGCAAGCATTTGCGCGACAAACACGCGATTTGCGAACCGCTCAATGTGAACGGGGCCTAAGTCAGTTCACGCAGCCATAAGTGTGCACATACACCCTGGGACAGGAAGAGACAGCAGTCTGCGCTGGAGCAGAGACCGACACTAGTGCTGGAGGGACTGCTGAAAACTACCGAAGAAGATGATGATCTGATCAAGAGGCATCACTTAAGGTAAGTCCTTACAGAAGCATGAGGGGGGGGGAAGAAACCCAGAGGGTTTAATGTCACTTTAAGGCAGATAGCTGGGGGTGATTACAGGATCGGAATTTAGCAGTATAATTTCCTCAGAGTGGCAATATTGCCTCTGTCATCATGCACTGGACTGTAATTTGTTCCTTTTTGTTTAGGTCAGTGCTTTGGATAACTTGGGACAGACGTGTCTCCATCGTGCTGCTCATTGTGGCCAATTACAAACCTGCCGCATTTTGTTAAACTCGGGTTGTGACCCAGCAGTTGTATCACTTCAGGGTTTCACTGCTCTTCAAATGGGTAATGAAAGTGTACAGCAGCTCCTACAGGGTATGAATTTTCATCAATCTGCATGTTGTAAAAATGTTCTTTGTTTTATATTGGTGTATTTCCCTCTTTCCCAATGCTTTGCTTTAATGCCGGCCTTCTTTTTACCAGAAGGCTTACCGCTTAGCAACTCTGATGCTGACTGCCAGCTGCTGGAGTCTGCAAAAGCTGGGGACCTAGATACAGTCAAAGTGAGTATGCTGTAAAATTTCAGTTGTGTCCTGTAGCTAAGTTGTGGGTTGTTTTTTTTTTGGGGGGGCGGTTCTTTCCGTTCTAGGCCTTTGGTTATATTGACATTTTGTATAACAGCCATGTGTAGTGAATGGTTTTTGCATAGCATATGCACATTTTTCGGCACACTTCAAGCAGCTTTGTTGACTGACAGTCACTTTAAACAAGCTGCTTGCAGGCTTCCGCAAACTTCAAATGGTTCTAGAAGCTTACGGATGCCTGCTATCAGCTTGTTTAAAGGAACGGTTTGCAGTGTAATGTAACACGTTATTTAATGGGGACCCCTAGCATGTTATACTTGCCTTACCTTTGCTCTTTTTGGCTGCCAGGACTTAAAGAGCTTTAGCCCTGTGTAAACTCAAAGTTGCAAAGAGTTTACCCAGGGCTAAGAACTCTCCCCACCAACATGTGGCACTGCTGGGTGTCTGAGCAGCCAATCGTCAAGCTACCGAGCATCACCACTTCCACGTGGATGGAAAGGAAACTATTTACATGCCCTCTATTTACAAGACCATCAATCATATAATGCAATATCTTCATTATTCTCTTCATTTAATGGCATCGTTTTATAATTCAGCCTCCTGGGTGGAAAATATAATGAAGCAACAAAAAGATCATTAGAACATTAGTTTTACTTTTATACTGTTCATGATTTTCTTTTATTGGTTTTGTTAATAAGTCACTCCATTCACCGTGCCAATAAACAACTGCTTTAATAAATTAAACTGTTTTTATTATAGTTACATAGTATTTGAGGTTGAATAAAGACATTAGTCCATCAAGTCCAACCTATTAGGATCTCATTCTAGGAGTACCTGTACCCCTGTATATTACGGTCCCTTAAGAAATCGTCCAAAAGTTTCTTGAACAATTCCACATTATTTGCTGAAATCACCGCCTGTGGCAGTGAGTTCCGGACCCTAACTGATCTTACTGTGAAGAACCCCCTTCGCCCCTTGTGCTGGAATTTTTTTTCCACCAATTTTAGGTGGTGGCCTCTAGTTTTTGTAACGGAGTTAATTTTAAACAGTTTATCGCTAATGTTGCTACCACCATTGAACATTTTGTACATGGAGATCATATCCCCCCTTAATCTCCTCACCTCCAATGTGAACATGTTTAAATTTAGTAGCCTCGTCTCGTAGCTCTGGTCCTCCATACCCCTAATTAGTTTGGTTGCCCTCCGCTGGACTTTTTCCAACTCAAGGACATCTTTTCTTAGTACTGGTGACCAGAACTGGACCGCGTACTCCAGATGAGGTCGAACCAATGATCTATAAAGTGGCAAAATTATAGACTTGTCCCTGCAATACATCCCCTTTTTAATACAGGACAAAACCCTGCTAGCTTTGTTTACAGCAGCCTGGCACTGCAAACTACCTTTCAGTTTGTGGTCTACAATGACCCCCAAATCCTTCTCCATTTCTGACTTCCCCAGCGGCATACCCATAATTGTATAACCCATTTGTTTATTTTTAATTCCAAAGTGCATTACTTTGCATTTAATGCATGGTGATTTGGAGAGTGTATTGTGCTTACGTTGTCAATGCAAGTCTCTAGGTCTGTGCAGATTACAAAACACAGTGCAGTACTGCTAATCAGGAAGTGCTGCCTGCATGTGTAATTTTATACATTTGATTGCCACCATTTTAGGATATCGTTATATACTTTGCACAGAAACATGGTTTTGAAGCATTAACAACCCACTATGATTGAATGATTAGTCTAATTACATGCAGAGTTTTCTCAACCTTTTTTAAGGCTGTAGTTCCTTTTTAAAATCTGACCCTGGTGATCTTTTTTTTTTCTCCTTTCTTTTAGAAACTGTGTAACCCACAGACTGTAAACTGTAGGGATATAGAAGGCCGTCAGTCCACACCCTTACATTTTGCTGCAGGGTACAATCGTGTCGCTGTGGTAGAATATCTGTTAGAACACGGAGCAGATGTCCATGCTAAAGATAAAGGGTAAGCACTTGATGTTGGAGAATATAACTTTACCAGGTTCACATGTATTATAATTTTTGTGTTTTGTAATTAACTACAAAAAATCCTGTTAGATTTGACAGCAAATGTAGAGAATATTTATAGTAGACGACTGTAACAAATGCTGAAAAACAACCTTTGTTTAAATTTTTAGTGCAAAGGTTTTAGCAGTCATGCGAAGGTTCCCAGTGTACAATATTAACATCTTTAATCATGTTTTTTTTGTTTTGGGGTTTTTTAGCGGCTTGGTACCATTACACAATGCATGTTCTTATGGACACTATGAAGTAACAGAACTGCTTGTCAAGCATGGAGCAGTAATTAATGTTGCTGATTTATGGAAATTTACACCTTTACATGAAGCTGCAGCAAAAGGGAAATACGAGATTTGCAAGCTTCTCTTACAGGTATGATCCTGACTTTTAGTGTAACTTGCATGTGTGTGTTCCTGTTAGGTTCACATTTCAGACCTTTTTATGTGCGCTAAATTGCCCAGCTATGTCCATTGTATATCCGCCACCAATCCTGCCTACAGCCAACCTTTCAATCCCCTACACATTTTAAAGCTGAACTTCAGGCAAACCGCTAAATAAACATCAGAAATGCTTCTATGGGAGCTGCTTTATCTACGTGAGGATTTTTCTTTCTGTCCTTCTAGTCCTGAGAGTTGCATATAGCTAGATAAACACCTTGCCTCGTTTTAGTCGAGTAAGGAAAATAACAAAGCTTATACTCGCCTGATCCTCGGAGCGGTCACTGGAGCTTCTCTCCCCCTTGACTGCAGCGGTTGAAGGTCCTTGAGTTATCACGCCTTATACACTATGTATTGGATGTGAGGACGCCAAGGGACATGCCATCACTGCATTGAAGGAGGAGACAGGCTGGAAGGAGCTCTGTCACAGCTGGCCGGCTTCAAGGCTTGAGCAAGTATAGCTTCATTTTCCTCTCTAGACCAAAATGATCACTTAACCCTTGCAGTGCAGGGGTAGCCCCACTGCATGGGTTCAGCTTAATTTTCTCTGTAGTTCTGCTTCAACCTTGAAAGATAAAAGCTGATTTGTTGCCATGGGCTGCTGCTCCAGATTCTGTTGCTCCAGGTTTTTTTTATATACATATA